GGGGAGTTTTACTCTGTTGCCCTGGGTCCAGTGCCATGGTGTCATAGCTTATAGCACCCACAAACTCCTGGGCTCAAGCAATCCTCTTACCTCAGCCTCCCAAGTAGCCGGGACAACAGGTATGCACCACAACGCCCGGGAGTTTTTCTATTTTTTAGTAGAGAGGTCTCACTCTTGCTTTGGCTGGTCTTTGAATCCTGAGCTCAAGTGAACCTCCCACCTCAGCCTCCCAGAGAGCTAGGATTACAGGCCTGAATCACTGTACAGGCCCAGCGTCTTCATTCCCACTTTTGAGCAGAAAATCTTAGCAAAAGCTCAGCCATTAAAATACTATCATGAGTTACACAGAATTGCCCGGAAAAGGCCAGTCTACCATCATTTCATCATCATCATCACTGTTTACCATGGAACAGTTACTTGGCAATAGTTTGTATGCATGTGTAATTCTGGCCTTTCTTCTACTTTTTTTCTTATCCTTTTCTGCTAAACTTCTGCCCAAAGTCCACTGTACATCAAATGTTTTCAAAACACAGTAGGATCTCTGGTAAGTTTCTCACCCAAGGAACTCTAACTGGTCAACAAAAGGAAGAAGGCCTATTGTATTGATGTGGATGTCCATGTGGTGCACATCCAGCCTATGAAAATTAGGTCAACTTAAAGAGGCGGTCAATATAGGGAGATGGTCAACTATGGAGGTTCTACCGTATTTACAGTACAATGCAAATTAAACAGAAAAACTGTATTGGATAATTAATGCATAACGAAAGGTCCAGTTTTAAATGGTTTGGGGATCCTTTCTGATGGTGACGTGACACATCTGGACGGTTCTGAAAATGATCTCCTTTACATCATGTCATAAGCAAAAAATTGGCACCACTGGATTAGACAGTAAACTCTTTTTTTTTAAATACAGGTTTCAGTGAAGAACACTTTTTTTACTTTAATGAGGAAGCTGAAAAGGCTGCTGAGGGACCCGAGCTCCTTGAGCCCCTGGAGCCCATCTTCCCCACTGAAATTGGAGAAGAACCAGCCAAAGAACAAGCATCTCCTAGGTCGGGCGGTACACCCCCCAGTTTATAGCCACACCATTGGTATTATCAGACTGCTCGATTTGAAGTGTGTCTCTAGAGTGAGTTTGCTCTTAAACTTCACAAACTCATGTATTCTTTTTAGTCTTTGAATTTCACTGTTTGATAAAATATATATGGTGTTTTTTGCCAGAAATTATATCTGTGAACCTTATTTCCCACCCATCACATTTCCATTGGGATTTTTTTTTTTTTTTTGCAGTTTTTGGCCGGGGCTGGGTTTGAACCCACCACCTCCAGCATATGGGGCCAGCGCCCTACTCCTTTGAGCCATAGGCGCTGCCCTCCATGGGGATTTTGTATGCATACTTATTCTACTGTCCACGATTCAGGGTCATGATCTAGTAAAAGGGGGCAATATTTTTGTTGCCAACTCCACACTCTGTCAAACATTTTATGCTTTACAAATCAGAACATCTCCAAAAACAAAAGCCTAGAAGTTCTCTGTGCCAGGAACAGGTGCCCATCATCTGTGTTTACTCCATCCATCTGTGCTGGAAAGCACAGACACATTTTTACAGCCAACCTTAAGCAGTGGTATGAGAACATCCCTATTTTTTTGTAATAGCCAAACAACTTCAATCTCATTTTCCTGCCTTAAATTTCCTTTCCCCTGACTCCTTCCTCTTTTTAAATTTTAGTTTTTCTTGTATTATTTTTATCTTTGTGAGGCTCCTTAGGTCCTTTTTGGAACAAAAATGGATATAAATGAATAAGCACACTGTGAATGAATATTCTCAAGGTTACTAAATGCCCAATTATTTATATTGCAGTTTTTAAAAAGCAATCAGCTAGTGATTAAAAACAATGTGACATACATACTGACTGAACTGCCTCCTTTCTAAGCCATCACTGGGGTTATACAGAGAAGTACCAGAAACATACTCGAACACATACACATAGTAATGTCCAAGTGCTTTATAAAATCTAAGGTCTCTATTAAAAGGGTTCTCACTTGTTTTTCCTAAAGATTATATGAATTGCTATGTAATGACCCGTAGGAGAGTGGCTACGTCTAGATTTCTGATTTATTCTATGTATTTTTACTAAGCATACTGAGGACCTCTCCTTTTGAAGAGTAACAACATCCTCTGGTAGCACCAACTCCTTCCTCGCAAAGCTTTGATTTGAAATGGCCTGAGAATTGGTGTCACTCTTAAGTTGGGAGGATGAGAATGGTGTCACAGTTTGTGGTTGTCACTGCCTCTCCCAATGCTTGGCAACAAACAATGGGGCAGGAGTAACTGGAAGGACAATTCATCTTAAAGGCAGGACAAAAATAGGGGGGTGTTTAGGTAGCCTTTGCAAATGTCCTGAGAGAGAGAAAGACACACACACACACACACAAATGAATCCTGTAAGTAATCCTAGAACTGTGGCACAAATCATAATTAAATTAATGAAACCAGAGCAAAAATTTGCAGTAACAAAAGAACGAAATTTAACTAATCAAATAGGTGATTTATTACTTCCACCAGGTCAACATTTTATTTTTTTGAGACAAAGTCTTAAGCTATCACCCTGAGTAGAGTACCGTGGCATCACAGCTCACTGTAACCTCAAACTCTTGGGCTTAAGTGATTTTCTTGCCTCAGCCTCCTAAGTAGCAGGGACTACAGGCACCTGTCACAATGCCTGGCTACTTTTTGGTGCAGTTGTCATTGTTGTTTAGCTGGCTGGGGCTGGGTTCGAACCCCCTAGCCTGGGTATATGTGGCCGGCACCTTACCCACTGAGCTATGGGTGCCACCCAGGTCAACATTTTAATTTCAACATATAGCACAGTCTACTTACCTGTCCTCACTCCAGGACCAGGCTCACCACTGAATAGTTAGCATTTTATTTTTAGAAATGGAGTCTTGCTCTGTCAACCCAGGCTGGAATGCATCCAGGCTCCTCTGTTATAGCTCTCTGCAGCCTTGAACTCCTGAGCTCAAGGAATTCTCCTGCCTTAGCCTCCGAAGTAGCTGGGGTAAAGGTGCATGCTACCACACCTAGCTATTTTTTTTATTTTTTGTAGAGAGTGAGTCTCATTATCTTGCCCAGCCTGGTCTTGGGCTCAAGTGATCTTTCTGTCTCACTTCCCAAAGTGTTGGGTCTACAGGCGTGAGCCACGGCACCTGGCTTGGCTAGGCAGCATTTTAAAGTTCTTAGTGGGCTAAGTAACATTTCTACTTGTATTTTCTCTCTGTTATATGTGATAAAAGGCATAATTATACAATAATAATATATACTAACCAGAAGAGAAACTAGTCATAACCTATATTAAAAATGACAATGAGATGGGGAAACCCTAATACTTAGAAGAAACTTCAAACCACTTCAGTCCTTACGTAGGGACTGCTTGACAACCCTTCTAAGGTCAATGATAATGACAAGACAGTTATCCACTCCCCACAATTTATTGACATATAAGTGAAAGTTGCTCCATAATGGATGTGACTAAAATATGTATAGTATGCATTTAGAAGAAGAATCCAGACTTTAAGACTCTGTGATACACACTATCAGCGATGTGACACACAACCTAAAATGGTCTGCAAAGTTCACAGTAATTTTTACCTCTACTACTCTATTTCCAACAAAGATTTTACTGTGAACACAGAAAGGAAGGAAGGAGTAATTACTGGTGAGTCGTCAGAGCCAAAACACACCCTCCTCGCTACTCAGGCAGACAAGGCTGAGAACTAAGCCTCGGGGCCTCTGCCAGTCAGAGATTCCCCAGACTGATCAACTACTCAAACAACTGTGGGTGAGTTGATATGAGATGAGGTGCAAACATTTTAATTAAATTCTTATTTTTCCAGAAAAGCAGGAGACATTTTTTTTTTTCTTTAACAGCAATAGCATGAAGTGCCTCTGCCCCTGTGCATCACACTGGCTATGAAATGCATTAATCTTAATTTTAAATGAAGCTCTGAAGTAGAAAAGACTTGATTTATATTTCCAAAATGGAAGGAAGAATAAATAACCTTTCAGACAAAACAAAAACATAGCATTGCCGTCCCTTAGAATTTTAAATAGGACAGATATGATTCTGTGTGCAAAGAGCTAGGAACGTACTTCAAGATGGGAACACTAGTCCTCCTATGTCTTCCTATCTGGGATCAACCCTTTTTGTTCACAACATCACCCCAGCAGGAGCAAAAACTCCTCAAAACTGAGGTTAAAAGGAAATACCGTAGTCAGAAAAAGATGGGTAAATATCCTGCATCGAATATACCTTTATGTGAAATTAAAATGCTTTGTGATCACGGCAAAGGAAAGCAAGCAACTTACAAAAAGGCAAGAACACTTCAAAATACCAGGTACTAATTGTTTGTTTGTTTTTGAGACAGGGCCTCAAGCTATCCCCTTGGGTAGAGTGCCATGGCGTCACAGCTCACAGCAACCTGCAACTCCTGAGCTCAAGTGAGTCTCCTGCCTCAGCCTCCCAAGTAGCTGGGACCACAGGTGCTTGCCACAACGCCTGGCTATTTTTTGGTTGCAGCTGTCATTGTTGTTTTGGCAGGCCCGGGCTGGATTTTAACCCGCCACCTTAGGTGTATGTGGCTGGCGCCTTAGCCACTTGAGCCACAGGCGCTGAGCCCCAAGTACTAATTGTTACCTGGTCCAGTTAACACATCTGACTAAATGTGTAACTTCTTACCCTGGAAATGAGAGTGGTTTTTTTAATAACTATATTATTCTGCTGAAAGATGCTGTTCATACTTTCATATTCCTAAATGTATGTGAGAGGCACATCAGATGAAGGAAGGAAGAACAGGAAACACGAATCAAATTCCTCAAAATAAAACCATCTAGAGGACTATTAAAAATTACTTAAGTTATCAATTCTCATATAATTTTTCTATTAAAGAATGTCAAGCTTTGGGAAGTAAAAACCAAAAACATCAATAACCACAATTGACCCTTAATGGGAAACTGTAGGTGCTTTTTTAATAAGTTGTGGTGAGGAGAGTTCAAATCACAGAATAACAGAACTTGTGTGAGTGAATCAATGCAGTCTGTAGCTAGTATATCATACAGCAGTATTATCCAGTTAAGAAAAAATACAGTTGAAAAACATACATTTTAATTCCCTATGAATCAACTGTAAAATCAACACTGGGAGAACATGGAAACAGTTAAGCCTACCGAACCTACAGAAAGATAATTACCTCCAAATTTAGGAAGTACTTTTACCTGCCTACCAACCTCTTCAAGCCTATGCTTAGCACACGTGCAAAAATACAATACAACTACTGCAATTATTACTATCATTTTCTTTTGCCCTTAGGTGAGAAACACCTGACAGCTACATGCTGAGCCATGCTAAAAAAACTAAACCTTTCACTTTCTTTAATAGTAAAATTACTGTTACTGAATCATTGTCATAAAAAGTGCATTCAAGTACATTACCACTTATTTTAAATAAACACCAATTTTGAAACAATCAACTTTGAAAAGCTGTGTAAGTTTTTTTTTTTTTTAAATCCCTGATTACATTTCTATTTATTCACTGTGGTGGCCTGAAATATTGTATTTTTAGAGACTAACTACCACTTAATTTCTTTAAAAAAAATACACACAAACAAACCCGTGTAATATAGAACAGCAGTGAAGCAAGAAAAATATGTGCTTGTCACTTATCTTCACTGTACATAAGAAGTGTGATAAAATACGGTACTTGTGCCTCATTAGTAAATAGGAAAACACAATTAACTCATAGCAGAGAGCACCTGGTTTACTAAGATATTACTGTTAAGTTCAAGGTTTGTACTTTCACCTCATTTCTGTATTCAGGCCACTGGAGCATCCCCACCGAGGCCTTTGGGAGGCTTTGGACACAATCAATAGCACGTATTTTTCATCCAATAGTTAACAATATGTGTAATTAATACCGACTATGGGACTGCTAGCATGATGCCAGCTCCTGAGTTTGAAGCTTATCTCAGTCTGCCCTAGAAAATAACTTGTATGCCACAGGACCCAACAATTTCCATGCTGCTGCAGTTTCACCATCAAAGAGGATCAGACTCAAAAGGGAAGCTTCTTTAGGGCTTTTAAAATCATGTTGGGTTGGTCAGTTTTGTTTATCCAATTATTCACAAGCACCTCAAACTTTCAGCATTCATTTAATGAGGGGTATGCACGTTTCCTAAAAAGACAATTGATATCTGAATTTTTTATAACCTTCTAGAAGAAGCCATACTTAACATAGTAACTAGGAAAAAATTGTATCCCTATAAAGATCAAAAACCCAGAACTACTCAGAATATGTATTTTGCTAAACAGCTTATATACTACTGTGACACCAGAAAAGAACCTTTATTCTGAATGCAGTGACCAGAACAGAATGTCTATAGCTCTTGCCGATACACCAAAACTTAATCACATGCTTATTGAAAAGGACTTCCAAACTGTCAGCCTGCTGGGTGACAGATCAGCAGCTGGAGCTGTCGTTCTCTCTCATTTTTTCAACACTGTCTTCTTTGTGTTCTGGTTCAACTTCACCTTCCTCCGCTTTGCGTTGAGTTGGATCCTTTTCAGTGACCTGGTCTTTGGTTTGGGGTTCATGTGTGGAAACAGGATCTAAAACTACAACTTGTTCTTCAGCTTGTTTTTCACTGTCAACGACGTATTCTCTCTCGCGTCCAATGCTATTGGGAGGCCTATGGGATAAAGAGTTAAACAAAAAAGTAAAAAGCAAAGAGAAAACAGTTGTCTTTATTATTCCTGGATTCAGACCAACAAAAAAACCCCAAATGCGCTAAGTCTAATCAACATACACATAGTAGTCCTTGAGATGCCAGCCATTTAAAAGAAAAATGAAGCTATCAGAGTACAAGGCCAGAAGAAAGAAGGCAGAGAAGTCAGCACAATTAACTACAGAAGTGCTAAAAAGCCAACAGCACCTACCTGCTGAATTCCACCTTTTCCCAGGAAGCAGGAAGCTCTGGACACACTGTGTCTCCCTCCTCACTGTCTGTAGCCCACACCCCTGTCCTGCCCTAGTTTAGCTGGAAGGAGCCAAGTTAACCCCCTTCGCTCTCTCGTGTCCCTGGGTACAGCTGCTTGCAGGGTTCCCCTAAGGAGGTGGCATGGGGGAGGAATAAATCCCCCAATCTCTGAGGGACGGAAGGGATGCGCCTGCTGCTGCCATTACTAACTAGAAGGGAGCGGGTCAGACCCAGGAGGGGTGGGGAGGAGCAGGGCGAGTCGGGAGAGTCACAGAATAAGCTAAAATGCAGTCACCATAAACTCTTCTAAAAGGGAGAATCAGGTTTCCTGAGAAATTTCTTAATTGAATTTCAACTGAGTTTCTTTTTCCATAGAAGCCTCCTCTCTTCTCTTCTGATGCAAGAAGGTACTGACCGGTTCTTGGGCTGAATGAGTGACCATTTCCTTGCGGAAACAGATACTCCTGAAACATTTCCGCTCTCGTGTGTCTGGCACCCAGTCCTCCCAGACCCGAGCCTCTAAAGGTGCTGGGCTGCTGACTTGCTGCCCAGGGGTAAAGGCAGCTGCAGCGGACAGGACTGGGGCTCTTTTCTAGGCAAATGCTAGGATCAGGCCTTTTTGTCTCAGAAAACTGACAGTTAACCAGGACCCAGCACACGGCCACCCTACCTCTGTTCCAGTGGGGGCTGGGGAGCTGCTGGCCAGCATATGCCCAGTGCTCTACTAGCAGCAGGAGTCAGCTTCCCCCATTCACTGACCCAGGAGCAGATCACATCTGCCAGTAGACACTCCCTTACAGCCTAGCACTCTCCCTTGTTGGACTTACCACAGTCAATGAGTTGTTTCACATCTGTCTCTTCCAATATCACATACACATCCATGAGGCAGGGACTGTTGAGCTTTGTTCATAAACCTATTCCCAACACCTAGCGCAGATGCGTTTGTGGAGTAAACGAATGTGCAAGTACTAATAAATTGTGAACGGCTCCGAATGAATGGGGAAAACCCAAAGTAAGTAAGCAGGTTTGGAGGGCCCCTCTTAAACAATAAAAACAATGATGAACTACTGAAGGAAAGTGGCCTGCATGACCCAGTCTGAGGCACAAAAACCTCAAATTCAATGACCACACTGTTCTATTGCTTTCTGATTAGTACAATATTTGTCCAAAAACTACTCCCTAAGCTCTCAGGTTAAATTAACCACGTGACGTGGTCACCATGATACATGACCAACCATAAAACTCTAACTTCCTTAGAGGTGGTAAAAGCAAAAAGATAATGAGGAACTGGGGGGCAGAAGTCATATTATGCTGTAGTGAGGACAGATTCCTTTACTTCTGCCTGAGTATGGCAATGCTCTATCACTTGATACCACAACACTGTCCCTCTACTTCAGCCAGACTTCTCAAGACGGCTACTCCAAATGCTTTGGGAATCAGGATGGGATCCAGTTTCCCCAGTGGTACCTGTTTTGACTTTCTCTAACTCAGACAAATCTAAAAGCCTGTGATCAGACAAACAGAACCTCTATGAGTGATATAAAGGATCCCTCCTAGGGATTAGACCTCAGGCAATGGAGGATGCTACTCAGGCAGTCTACAGAAGCCTGCTGCATCTGACGCTGGGCCTGCAGTCAGTTCCTGGCAACTGGGAGGGAAGATGGCGGTAAAGCAGCAGAAACCTAGTACAAACTAGAGCTCTATCTGTCTTTCGCAAGCAATCCTGATGACACAGATGACCCGCAGGATAAGCCACAGCCTCCCACATGGCACTGCACATGCACCTGGCCCAGGATTTGGAGAAGCAGGGGGTTGGCGGGACCTGGAGACACTGTGGGCCAGCCACTGCCACGTGCCAGTTAGGTGAGTTAGCACATCAGCAAGATCGTGCAGAAGCTATAACAGAACCTACCCTACCTTCAGAGGATTAAAAACAATTTTTTTTTTTTAAAGATGGTTACTTCACTTCTGCCTTCTAAATCTCACGCAAATCTCTCTTGTGGCCAACCTGAAACTGGAACAAATCAGTAAGGTAATTTTAGGAAATGAAGCTGCAGCATAGCTGAGGTTATAGTGAAAGCCCCAACAAAGTCTACAGGTTCAGTCTCCAGCCTGAATGCACTATCTCGGGTCTGGGCCCCTGTTCTGCAGCACAGTCTACAGGCTAAGTCCAATCTGACTGCACCGTGTTTGGTGTGGGCCCATTTAGGAGCTAGCCAGTCCACTCTGAGCAGGTGAAGGAAGTATGTATCTCACTGTAGTGAGCAACTTCCATCGACCCATACTAACCTTCACTTCTGTAGACTGTCACGTATGTTTCCACGCCTATGTGTATCTTCAAGTGAAGAACTTAACATATCCTGGAAAAAGCTTTATCAGCTGGGGGCTAAAGACTTCCAGAAAGTGCCCTCTGGGCTCCACAAGGGCAATAAATGGATGTTGACTAACTGAAAACTCAGAAACCTTGTGTTATCAGGCTAGAACTGTCTCAGTCCAAAGGACTTTTTGCCTATCTTAAAGTTAGCTTCTCAATTGCAGATTAATCTATTATTAAGTCACTGGTAGGCTACAATTTGAGAACCCCTTTGTTGATTATCACTGCACTAGGCACAGGGGGCAATTTCTCTGAATCTGTACATCAAGGAGTGTGACTGGTTTCTCAAGGATAATGACACTGCCTTGGCATCCTAACAGGAAGGCAGAAAGGGACTATGGCAGTCATCTAGTTTGACCTGTGCTTCTATGGAGAATGACGCTGGGGCATGGAGAGAAGAGTCTGGCCTAAAACCACACAGCTCATCAGTGGAAGAACTGGAATAAGAGTTGGGAGCTCCTGTCCTCCCATCCTGTTTTCCATAGCACCAGGCTGTCTCAAAGGAATCCTCTCCTAGAAACATAAAAGTGATACAACAGGCTAATTCTGGCCTACTTACTGATTTCTTCCTGAATCCTTGTTTCCATCTCACCTTCCAGATCTGTAAATATAAAGGCCATCCCTCCAAAGATACCTCTCTTTTTTTCCCGCTGTGGGCTGTAGCTCCTCCTGCTTAGACATCATTAGGTCCATTCCTGGCAGCCGCAGGGACCTAGAGAAGGTTCCTTCCAGAATGAGAAGCCCTTTTCCTAGGCCTCACTCTCTCTCCATTTCCATCCTCTGGGAAGAGCCAAAGAGCCCTATCAGTGATGTGCTCTCGCTCTGGCAGCCATAGTGGCAAGTTCTAGAGGGTTAAATCTGAAGCACCTCCCCAAGGCAGAAATTCCAGAAATTCAAATGCAACAATTCAATAGGAATGATACTATACTATTTTTCTGTTTCATTTTCTACTTTAATGAAACATCTAACAACATAACCACAAATAATTAAATGTCAGCCCTTATAAAAAGTAACAGTAGCCTTTCTCTTGCATGCTGTAAAATCTGCAAGTGAAACTTAAAATTTTATAGATGATAATAAGTGAGACCAAAATTATGGGACGTTTAGGCTGAAAGAGATCACTGACGTGTGCTAGTCTAACCTCTTCGTTTGTCAGATGAGGCCTCCAAAGAACAGTAAGGTTAAATGATTTGCTCACCAGCACACAACTTGTTAAGAGCAGATACGGGACTAAAATTTTGGCATCTCATTTCCTGTCCAATATTATTTTCTTATCATAATATACTAATAGTCATTTATGATCCATTCAAAGAGAGCTTTTTTTCATGGGTTTGAGACCACACGCTCAAAGGCCATTTTAAGACAAAAAGCAATAAACAAAACAAAAGCTAAGAAAAAATATACTACTCTATGCCACTCTATAAAACCTGATGCCCAAGTACAACCTGGGTGCCCTTTTAGAAAGCAGCTGTTGCTCCCCAATTGCAGGAGAGCACAAATGCAGTCCTGGGCAGGTGGGGCTGCTTACTGGTAAATGACCTGACACCAAATCATACTGGGACCAGAGGACTCAGAACAACGGCAAGTGGCTACGCCAAAGCTGAACTTTGTGAAGGGACTCGGGGGATTTCTCAGAATATGTCACAAGAGATGAAAGCACAGCACTCTAATTTTTAAAAAGCACATCATTGTTTGCATTCAATGAAATTCCTTTCAAAATCAACTTTCCAGGTTTCAATTATATTCAACAACATTCTAGCTAACATTTCAGCTGCAATTCAAATTAACTAATGCCCAAAAGAGCCCTAATCGAAGTGGTTCTGAGCTCAATTGAATACAATCAAAGCTCATGAAATGAAGGGGGAAATGCTTATTTCATGCAAATTCTGCATATCACTCAAGCTTAATTTTACTGATAATATAAAGGTGGGACATTTTGAACATTACAGTGAATGAAACTTTTAAGCGGTGAGAGTTATTTTATAAAATGCTACCTCTGAAAAGCTGATTGCCAAACAGTGTAAAAATGGTTTGAGGCATAAATGCCAAGTTCATTTCTATTTCACTTCTGAGGTAACTATCTTTCAAATCGCAACAGCTGGACTATTTAACACAATCTGGTGAATCAAAGTATAGTTCTTCCCTGGTCTCCCAGTGGGACGTCTGCATTAGTCTGTGGCAGCCATCCAACAAATGACGCACAGCCGGACGGTCTGAACTCTGTTTCATTTACAATAAAAATGGATAAAACCACAATCATATTTACCCCCTTCAAGGACAGAAAACGGAAAGATTTAAATTTGTCTTTATAAAGTAGTTTCCTGGGAAAACTCCAAAG